GTTTTTGGGCGGCGTGACCAGAACGTCCGTTTCAGCATCTGGTTAGGACGAATTTACTCTCCGGCGGAAACGACCTGACAATGTTATTCTGAGTTTTGGCATTTTCGAGGACGTGAGGCGGCTTGTCGTACTTTGAGGACTTGTGCTAAATTCAAATTTCGGAGCACTTAATGAGTAGAGTTTGTTTCAAACCGTCTTTCATTACACGGAGTCCAGGAGCTCCCGTTACCTAATAATAATAATAATAATAATAATAATAATAATAATAATAATAATAATAATAATAATAATAATCCATATTCTGTGGTAACGTTTATAAAGAATGGCAGGTCCAGTTTTTCCGGGAAAAAATTGTCTTCAATAAAATTAGGTTTAAAAGTTTCTTTCGGACGTGAAATTCAAACCTGCTGCCGCGACACAGCAGACACCCGCGCGACGTCCGCCAACGGGCCTGGGCGTAGTGTAGCTTCTGCGCGTTTTCGGTGGAACTGTCAAATTAGGTAAATAGCTTGCCGCTCACTAGGGTGTTTCAGCACAAGTGCAGCACCATGTATTTCATGTGTACTAATCATTTAATCTATTAAAATTCATGTTTGCTGTTTGTTATAACCACGGTTTTCAGCGGCGTAACAATGAACACTGAATACACAAACCAAGCCTTATGGAAATTAACAAAATTCCTTGAATGCTCTAATTATTTTTTGCGTACCTTCAGTGTGCATCTTGTGCTTTAGAGAGTCCCTTAACATAAATGATAGTCCCCTGCAGTTTTTTTCTTAACATCACAACATAATTTATGTTTTCAGCGTTTTGATGTTAAAATGTTGGTTCATTAAAATCGTTAACGGGCTGCAATGTTGGACCTGCCTTTCTCCATGAACTTCAACACAGAATATGGGGTATTTTTTTGTTACGGGAGCATCTGGACATCCTGTTTAAGTTAAGCAAAGCTCTGGTGCCCTACCTCAACATAGCATGTAAAGAATAACATGATAAACACTATTTTTATTATTGCCTTTAAATTTGTTTAAAATTGCAACAAATTTATGTTCATATAGTACTAAGATTTACTTAACCAAAACATAACAAGTGGGGTTTAATGCCAGAAAGCAGAGCACATGCTAGTTTTCTTTTAATCAAGACCCACCTTCCTGTCCACAGACGTATTACATTAGGCAATATTATATTGTATGTTCAGCAATTCACTTTGTGTAAAAGAGAAAAGAAGTGAAATAGCATTATACTATTACTTTCTATTAAATTAATAATAATTTTTTTTATGTGAAGGAACTAGCGATTATTATTCAGAGTATCCTAAAGAATGGAAATTATACATTTTAGTGCATCATTACTATTTTATTTTTTAGGAGAAACCATTTGATTTATTGTTACTAAATAAATCTTTTTTGTTTATCATAAGAATGCTTACTAAATAACTTAATTTTTCTATTCTTTTTTGCAGAGATATTAAACCAGACAACATTCTTTTAGATGAGGAAGGTAGGTAAAAGATATATTTTTTTCCTTACATTATAAACAGGGTCAATATAAAGACACATGAGGTGGGACTCCCCATTTTTATAATTTTTTTTATTGAGACTGAAAGGATGAGAGAAAGTTAGGCAAAGAGAGAGTAATGAATACTAACTTCAAATAGGTATATTTTCCTGAACAAAGAAAGTTGGGGAACAAAAATTACAAATCTCTTTTGTGTAAACTTGTAATTACTATTTTCAATAAAATTAATATTTGAACAGTTTAATTATACATCCATTTTTAAAACAATGCTTCTCGTGCAACAAACAGAAATATATGTGTATTTAACCTAACAGAATGAATTGAAATGAAATTGGTTCACATAAATCTGACAATGCCTCCGGTCTCTATCCACCTCACTACAGAATTTTTCACACAAGAATTTCAAATTAATTTTATCTACCTAGAAAATATTTAAAATTTACTGGAAAAATTTACAACAACAGCTATACAATTTGACTGGAACTTATCTTCACAAATCTTTTGTGACTCAAGGCATCAATTGATGTCCTTGCAGTGCCTTGGAATAGGAGGTCCTAGGATTTGAATTCCAATGGTGACAGGATTTTCGACACTAGCTAATCAGTCTAATTCGGCTGTTGACTGGATAAGAATTCTAGTCTCTTTCTGCTCTGATTGATAGTTTTCTGTATTTTTTCTAAGCATCACCAGGCAAATGAGGGTGCAGTAATCTAACAAATGGGCCATGAACCATATGGATCTTTCCTTCCTCTTTCTTGTTCTTTTATCCTCCTTAATTAAACACACTTACACCAAATACTATACAGACCATAGAGGCTACTACTACAGACTATGGAGTCTGTAGTATTTACTTACACTCACATGCACTACGCAACCACACATGTGAGGAGATCAGTTGGAAGCTTAGAGGTTGTCCCAGCTGGGGTGCAATGCCAACCAAGCTTGTGGGAGATACCTGGTTGGGAAGAATCTCCACGAACTGACATAGGACAGTGCCAAATCTTTCCATCCAGTGGAGAAATATCACCCCCACTTCTCACAATAAGAACGTGCACTACACTTACAGGACTAATTACCTTAGCAGTTGGCATGCCCGGAATCACTAATTAATCAATCAGTTCACAAATCCTTTTTCAATTGCAAAACTTTTCATGGGCCAATGGAGAAATGTTTCTACTATATTATGCATCTTATTTTATCTAAATGATTCTTTGAAAATCTGTGTTTCATTTCCAAGTGAATTATGAACTTTAATTTGTAAATTGTGATCCGTTTTGGAAACATTTAAGAATAAAAAAATGAACTGTAAAGCTGTATGCACGTTATTGTTATATACTTGCATTGAGTTAAAGAAATTATATATAAACTACGTATTTTATTTTTAAAATATTTGGTGGTACTAACTTCCTGTAAATAAGTTAGCAAATCCTTAGACCTTGAAAAGCATGAGGTCCATAACATTTGTTAGAGGAGTCTCGATTTAAAACCAGCTCTGGTTATAAATCGTCATTATCATCAACATTTCATACTTGTGAAAAACTTGGTTTGTGTATGTTAGTATGTTTAATTATCAGAATGTTGAAGAAATCTTTTTATTTCGCTAATTAATAATTGTATGATATTTAATAATACATGATTTTCATGTAACAATTTAGTAAACCCTCTTTAGCATGAACTCATTTAATACAAAATTCACCATCAAACAAACATAATTTGGGTTCCACCTAAGAAATGTAGTATTGAAGATATATATAAAAATTGGATGACATGAATTTTTACAACACAATTTTTTTTTCAGTTCCATAGTATTTGTGTTAACGAGGGTTTACTGTATTCAAAGGTACAGTTAAAATATCCTTGCCCTTTTGCTTTTAGGACATGTGCATCTCACAGACTTCAACATCGCAATTATTTTAGAGGAAGGCCAGCTAGCTACATCCATGTCAGGAACAAAACCTTACATGGGCAAGTAGAGAAATACTAAATATATTTACTGTGTCTGAGAATTTTCAAAAGTACAGATCACTGACAAGTGAATTTTATGAAAGACTTCTGACATATATCTTTCAAGAGCTGTTATATTCTATTGTTGGTCAATAATATTCATTTAAAGTTTAATATTAATATTAAAAATTACATTAATTATTATTAATTCATTATTAATATTAATAATAAAATGTTTATTGAAACCAATGCTGGATGTAGACAATTTTAGGCCTGGAACAATGCTGAAACTTAGCCCCCCCCCCCAATTAAAGATGTGGAAGTAGTATCAAGAAACTATACAAGTTACTTTAAAAAAATTACAACATCTAAGCCAAAAAAGGTTTTTGGAAATATATTTTAAACAATTGTTTTACATAAAAGTAATTAGTGCTGAAATGATATAATTTATATGAAGTGCTGAAATGAATATTTATATGCTTAAAATGCTAAAAAAGTATGTTATGTTTAATTAGTGCTTAGTAAAATGACTTCTTAAATATCACAATACTCCACTGCGAGTACTAAAATTATGAAAATGATTTTCTAAAGTTCTCATTTCTTTTTCAATATTTAACTATTTTTTCCCATTGGTCCCATCACCAGGCTCCTTGAATTCCTGGGCCCTGGGCGATTACTCGGTCTGCCCATGCCTAGTGCCAGCACTGATTGGAACTAACATTTGTAATATTTTTTTAACCTGAAGAGTATCTATTTATAAATAATGCTTTATTGTATTTTTATTTTATTTGGTTATTTAAGCATTGATATCTTTATTATTTCAATGCCATTAATTTACATTTTTATTCCAGCTCCAGAAATTTTTGCCTGTGCTGATAACGAATGTGCAGGATATAGTTTCCCTGTTGACTGGTGGTCTTTAGGTGTGTGTGCTTATGAAATGTTGTCAGGAACACGACCATTTGATATACATTCTGCTACTTCAATTAGTGATGTGCGAGCTTTATTTAATATGGGTTTGCAGTATCCATCATACTGGAACCGTGGTGTGAAAGACTTAATTTCCAAGGTAGGCATAATGTTTGATTTCACAATGTTCACTTTCAAATGAAAGTATGTTCGTATATATTCCTTGGAGTTACTAACATACAGTACATTTGTTCACTTGAATTGCACCTTTAGTTATTGTGTAATCAACCTGGAGCAAGAATAAGTTCTTTTGATGAATTGAAGAAGGTTCATTGTCTAAATAGTGTTGACTTTGATGCAGTTCTGCAGAAAAAAGGGAAACCCACTTTCATTCCTCCTGTAAGTTTATTCGTATGATTCCCTTTTTAATACAGTTAATTTCCTTTTCCTTTCTTCTTCCAGCTCTTCAAAATAATGGATTAATAAATGATTAAAAAACAATTAAGTGGATACAATGTTATTTAAGTATTATAATAGTACCTTACTAAGATTTGTTTTATTTTCCTTTAGAAAAATCATTTAAATTGTGATCCAACATATGAATTGGAGGAAATGATTATAGAAGCAAAACCACTTCATAAGAAGAAGAAACGACTTGCAAAGCAAAGGTCTCTTAAAGAAATGCAAGGATCACTTTCCTTAGACATGGTAAATTCATTTTAATTTTTGATTGCCACAGATAAATTCTTGATGAGAAAGCAAAGTTCCAATGCCACACCAGTGACACCGAAGAGAGGAATACATGTTCCTGTATTGTATCCATCTGTTCATTGAGTCACAAGGAAAGAAAGTTAAAATTAAGTTATGTATGTTATTGGTTTATTCATTATATTCTCATGTTTCAGGAAATGGATTTAAACAGTGATGCTTTCTTGCAACAACTTCCCAACTTTAAACCTTATAATAGAGAACTCGACATGGTAATTCGTGAACGTGAAACTAAAGAACGTTGTTGGGAAGAAGAACTCCGTAAGTCAATGGAGGCTTCAAACCCCATCGAGTGTGCTGCATCTCTTAGTAAGAAGTGTCAAACAAAATCAACCAAAGATCAACAAAGTGAACAACAACAAGAGAAGCCAAGTTCAAATAATTCATCTCCTTCAGCAAATGCTTCTGTTATTCAGAAAATACATTCACTAAGTATAGAGAGTGATGCATGCAGTTGACAAGTACCCAGTAATTCAAAGCCTTGCATCATGTTTAACATCAATAAGTTTAAGAAAGATATGAATCTAGTCAATACATTCAATTTGTTCAGATGAGATAGATGTGCAGTGAAAGAAAAAAAAAGCCTTTCTTAACATGACATCTTGCCCAAAAATATTTGAAAGCATTGTTTAAAGGTGTGTTATAGAAATGAATATTAAATGTTAAATAATACTCGATCTTCATATTACTAAGTAAAAATATATAAGCTATTGGCAGAGGAGTGCAAGCCTTTAACTTCACATCAGGGCAAAAAAAAAAAAAAAAAGAATACAATGTATAAGACTGTATCCATCTGCTCAAAGAGTTACATGAAGAAACTTGAATTGTGATAGACCTTTTGTTTTGTCTAGAAAACAAGACAGAATAACAGCAATAGGAAATAAAACAATGAGTGAATACATTCAGAAAAGAAAACAATAGTTAATTGAGTGTTAATTTGGTGTGTGTTGTTCTTTCTTAAACCTTAATGATTCTAAGCAGAGAACTATAACACATCTTTGAATATATAATACAATCTCCTGACAAGAACTGTTTACTTATGATGCTTGGAAGGAGGAAACAAAGCAACTGATAGACCTATGCAGAAAGATATTCAAGATTAGTTTTTCATCTTGATTGTTTTGTAATTTACAAATTTGGATTGTGCCTTCTGAGGAATAACATTATGTGGGAACATTTAGAAAATGTTTAAATAATCTTACTTTGCAGTTACATATTAAATGAGATAACATGATGTCTATCTGCTCCATGAAAAGGAGTTCTTGTAGAGAACATTCTCTCTGTTGCAAATTTTAGTAATGATAAATGACTACGGGTCCTGTAGAGAATAACTGTGATAAGTTACTTCTTCCACTAGTGCTTTTGGTTTTTAGAGTTTTGAATGACAAGCAATCATGGAAGTAAAAGGTCATGTTATTTTTATAGAAACAAAATCAAATTTGACATTTATTGCTACCCATTTTGAAATTCTCTCTGTAATAAATGATTCATGTACATGTATGAACTCCCTTAATTTGTGATATATTTAATTTTTACTTTTGTACATATAACATGTGTACACCTGCACACATGCATATACTTACACAAACACACAAACTAATATTGTTTTTATAATAAAATTAGTTTAATGTACTGTCCTTTATATCTGGGCATCTTCATATATGCCTATGACTTCGCAAACGTACAATGTTCAATTTCTGTCATTTTGTTAATCTTCTAAATGAATACATACAATGGCTTTCTGACATTCTGATATAATGTAGTCATACAATTTGACACTTTGTAAAAAATGTTACAATTTAAACAAACAAAAGATATATTGTGGATTTTTTAAATCTTGTTTCCTGAAATGTTCAATTGCCTGAGTACACACACAGCAAAAATCACCTGTCCAATTATCCACAACACTGTAGTCAAAATACCATGCAGAACTTGTGGGTGAAAAAATCCCCATGCTTTCTGCAAAACATTGTTTGTAGAGATAGTTGCTAGTGTGGTTGGCATTGTGTAGCTGACCCACTGCAAAAAGCGTGGCATTCCTTCAATTGGCCAAATAACTCCTAGACCCAGAAATCAAACAATATTTCACATATATGTAGAATCAGAATACAGTAAATATTGGTCTAATAATTACATTAATTTTGTACTTCACTCACCACTAAGGTTAATGAAAGGAACATAAATTCCTAAACACATGTACATGGCTACAGTGATGCTCTTACTCAGAACTGCAACTACCAGACCTGTAAAATGTTAATTGATTGGCAGTATAGCAGAAGTCATCAAAATATGAACAAATGTCTGTGATAGTAAAGGAACATATTTATTTTGCTTATTTTGAACAAATACCACATGGTGAGGGTGGGGATTTTTATTCTTTTTTTAAATCTACTACCTACATTGAAAACACTTCAGTATTTGAAGGAAAGAGACAATCAAAGCCTAGCAACAACTTCTTATATATTGTTATTACCCTTGAGAACTTCAGAGATAGAATTTATTAACTGCCTCAATTTGCGATACTTACCAAATGTCAAACCACAAAAGCCCTGTAGAAGAATTATTGTGTACAAAAGAAAGATGTTTCCTTTGCATTCCATTCCATAAATATAAATGGATACCAACAGAATTTCTACACTCTGTAGAGCTACAAAAATTGACTGTGTTACAATGTGGGAAAGAATGAGTTCCAGCGATGTTACTCCTGGAATCAAAATAGAAATAAAATACTTTTTTTTGGTATGTATGGGAACATCTAATAAAAGCTTGGAATTATAATTATTATTGTCATCATCATCATGATGATGATTATTATTATTATTATTATTATTATTATTATTATTATTATTATTATTATTATTATTATTATTATATTTCTTCAATCAATCAATTGTAATTTAGAATCTGTCATACCTGCAACAATGTCCCTGCTCCATATACCTTCTTGGCGTTCTCTAACCATTATTACTGCTGTCAAGGTAGTGGCCAAGAAATACATCATTCTGCAAACGTGAAAAAAAAAAGAACTAAACACAAAGATTACTTTATATCTATTTGTTTCAAAAGCTGCTAAGGTTATTCTACAATTAATTAATACCACGCAATTTATCTTTCTTCAATCCCAAGATCAATGAGTGTAAAGACACAGCCTAAAAATTGCTTTGAAGTTTCAGGGGGTAAAAATGGTTTGAAATTCAAGGTATATGGTTGCACCCAATACTTCTTCATTAAAATTGTCAGTCTATTGAGGAATTTAGTTTTGAAAGGTAATGTAAAATTCAAAGAAATAAGTTGTCTATTGAAATGTACAATTAACATATTTTATGGAGTCACAATGCTATTATTTAATGAGAAATGCCCTTAAATTTGGCATTTAATCAAATACAAAGAAGTAAGCTGCCTTTCTAAATTTCAAAGTGCATTCAACTGCTTTTCTAAAACCTAAAAAAAAGTTGATTTTAAGAAATTATTGAACAAATCTTGTAAAAAAAATATTCTTGATAAGAATTCTTTCTTTATAGTATTTTGGTATTATACCCATTGCATGCATCATGACATTTAAAACAGTGAACTATTGATTTGGGCTGGAAGACTAGTAATTATAATATGATGGATATCATTCAAACTAAAATCCTTTCATTGTGTATAATTTATTTCTAAAAGTCTTCCTTAAGTCTCATAATATTTCTCTCTCTTCATTTCTCATCTATAATATTTGTCATGAAAATTAAAATTGTGAGTTTCATCCATGTTGTACATTTATATACTACTTTAAGATTCCTATAGTTAAAGTTATAAAAAAAATTACTACTTACGATGTTAATACACCTGGTAGCATAAATATGTCATATCTTGGGTATTTTGATCCATATATTGGTTCATTGAACTAAAAGCAAATGTGAGTAAAATGTATTTCTTAAAATATCCATTAAACTGCGGTAAGTCAATATGCAACCTTTTACTGAAACTTACCTGCATAGGTAACTTTGATACAGTACTGTCAATATCACAATTTGAAGATAATTGTTTAACCATTGTATTGTATTTATCATAAAGCAGAGTTTTTACTAAGGTTGCAGTGTGTTGTTCTAGAAAATAAAGTACATGAAGTTTTCATTAAACCTAACTGATGTTTTGGTCATAAAAAGAATCATATTTAATGTATTTTATGAATGAGAAAAACATACTATGAATAAAAGAAATCATACCCGTCATGTCCATGGTTATGCCTATTTCACTAAATTGTAATGTGTCATTGTTTGTGTGTATTCCATTCAGTAGACGGATTTCCAACTGGCTACTGAAATTCTGAGGGAAATGAATAACACCAATGGCTTTCCCTGATTTCACGCTTGCAAAAGCTTCATCCATTTTACCATAAAAAACCTGTAAAAGTTGCACAAAAAACGTTGTGTACATTCAGTTTAATAAATTATAACTGTTACTTACATATTTTAATACATTGATGTTAATAGGGATTAATATCTTGAGGAGTCCTAAGCATTACGAATCTATGGGCCTCCATAGATAGTATATTGAAGCATTATACTTATATAATCAAAATGAAATTGAATATGAACTGAAGCTTTTCAAAAGTTTAATAAAATAAAATTTTTCCATATTTATGAACTGATAGTATGTGTTAAAAAATAATATGGGGTCACCACACAGAGGGGTCATCAGGTCATGCTTAGTCTCCTTATGCATTAATCCACTCCTGATTATAAATCATGTAATTTAAAAAAATCATACCATATTCATGAGAGAGTTGTCAATAATATTCAAATACAAGCAACTGCTTGCATTGAATGTGCAGTAACTTGAATTGTCATTGAATATGTCTCGATATTCATCGCAGTTTGATATGTCAACAATTTCATCATTTACCACTGCTAAATTTATTCCTGTGGGATAGCCACCAATTGCCAAAAAGAAGAGGCTTATTTGAAGAAAAGGGAAAAGGAATATTCCAATGATATGTCTGAAAGAAAAAATATTCAGCTAGAATGTAACAATATTTATTAATATGTTTATCTTTTGTGAGAGAGATATAATATCTTATTGAACCATAAAACTAATTGTACTATACTGTATGCCATCTTAAATTTTTTGCACATTTGAAAATTGTCAAATTAAGTTATGTTTCTGAAGGTTTTAGTTTATATGTTTAGTAAAGCAATGTCATTGTGACAAGCAAAACAAATATGACTACAGTGGAGACTATTTAAGCAGGTCCCTTCAAGTCTCTTATATCTTTACTCCATGGTCAATACTGCATATTTTCTTTCTGTGTGTGCTAACAAAAATTTTTGAAATTTGATGAAAGTTAAGGATGAGAAGAGGAGAGGAGGTGGAAAAAGTGAGTAGTGGAAAGACCATGAATATGATCCTGAGATGCCTATATTTTCTTTAATACTACAAACAGTAAAGCTAGGAGAAATGATTAACCTTGTAATTTTTGATATTCCAGGAGTTAAAACATACTCCTAAACAGTCTTTTTTATAAAATATAACTTAGATAAATTAAATGTTCTAAGATCTGTGCATTTATTTTTGATACTGTTTGTTTTGTTTCAGCTTAAGGTTCTGCTCTGAATGTTATTTCTTAAAGTTCAAATGAAGTTAATGAAATAAAGTTGCAAAACCTGGAGACCATACCCTGGATTCCGACCCATACTCAAAAAGTTCTTGCAGAGAAGAGCTTTTAATCTGTGCTTGGTTAAACTTTGTGAACATCTTGACTTTGTCCATTTCTTTTTCTGTCTCACAGGTACTTTCTGAAAGATTAATTATATTTTTTTTTATCTTCATTTTTGCATTCAGTCGAATGAAATATAATATTTTATGTATTTGCATTATGTTTTAATATTTTTATTACACACTTCAGTAATTTTTAATCACCTCTGTACTATCTCTCAATGGATTCTCCATACATATTTCTTCTTGGCTCTCACTTAATGTTTTGTTTTGTTTGGAATGTGAAGGAGCATTTTCCTGGAGACCAAAAATAGAAAATAAGTGTGTGGTTCTTATATTTTACATACTAGCAAAATGTTATGCCACAGATCAAACAAAACATGATTATTATATGTTACATGTATAATACTGAAAATATAGTATAAAAATACCATTATGAATTAAATACAATTTCATGCTCATTACAATAATTGCATTTGCAGTCATTGCGGTCATGTCTTCGGATATTATTGTAATGGTGAGCAACTTCAGTTTAGACCTCCTCTGTCTCTGAAACCATTTACGCACCTTAAGACTGAATTTTACCCACTATGGTAATAGATTTTTCCCTTGGGATTCTTAACAAAATGAACACATACATACAGTGTCAGTTTGTAAGCGTGAGTAAAATTATGCTTGATAAGGCTTACAATTGATGATGGATCTTGTATTTCTTGGTCTTGTTGAACACTCATGCCAAGGAAGACTTCTTCCAAAGTGATACAGTCATATAATGATATGAGATGCTGTGGAGCATCTTCTGCCAGAAGTTTCCCATGCCTCATGAGACCTACCTATTGGAAAGAAACTATAAGATTAATTTGTGCATGCTGGAATAGAAAATTGTAAATATTTGAAGTTTTATTGTATGTTGTTGTTGTGATATTACAATTCATTAATTATATATGTTCATTCATGGATTCAATTTTATCATTTTTATTATTATTATTATCATGTACTTATGTTATTTCATTATTGATATTATTATTATTATTATTGGTTTCAACAAATGAAATAATTAGTTTTTTTATCTTATTCAGTTAAAAATTTGAAAGTTTATAATTATGGCTCACTTTAAATCTTAAGTCCACCTGTCCAATCTTAAGTATGATTGTTTAATTCCGAAATGATAAAATATGGAGAAATCCTCTTAGAATTCAGAATGCTTGATATACTCAATTTGTGCTGGAAAAATTATGTTGTACCAGATGAATGGAAAATAGCAAAGGTTGTTTCAATACTTAGGAAAGGACAAAAAGGAAATACATTCAACTGCGGAGGTATCAGTATTCTGAATTCAGCCCACAAGCTTTACAGTAAAACAGTTAATGAAATGCTTTAATCTCTGATACAATTTAATTGAAGAACATGCAGGCTTCTACAAGCCAAGATCATGTATAGACAATGTTTTTCAGTTAAAACAGATATCACAAAAGAGGTGAGAATTTAATTTAGACACACCCCTAGCCTTCGAGAATTTTGAGAAAGAATTTGATAGGATCCAAAGACATAAGCTAAAGTGTACAAGTATAATGGGAAAAAAGATTAAAGAATGGAAAAGAGATTGAACACCATCTGTGATTAAAATTGGACCGAGCAGATACATTAACACCTTGCTATTCGCTGATGGCCAAGTAATCACACTATACAATGAAGACAAATTGCAAATGCCACTACATAATGCTCAACAAACTAAATCTAACCTATAACCTGAAAATATTCATAACAAAAACCAAAACTATGTCTTTTTCATGTACTATTTACCCAATAAGAACAAAAATAGTTGTAAATAACAAATCAATAGAACAGGAATCTCATTTCTAGTATTTGGACTGTAATATATCTTATGAAAGAAACCAAAACATTGGGGAAAAGATTAATATAAATTAAAATATGTGGTGCAATTAGAAGAACTTATAAAGCAAGAATATGGAGAAGAGAAAAGAAAAAAGCCAGTTAAGATTAATTCATCATCGAGACGAATGGTGAAAGCACCCTTTGTATGTCACCAGAAAGGATTCCAAAACATGGGAAATTAATAATGGAAATTCTTAAAACAAGGAAGGCCAACTTGAGATAACGATAGCAACTTAGTATGTTTAACAATATGTACACCTATTCTGCTTGAGAATTACCATAACTGAATTATTTTCGTCCAGTTATGTAGAAAGAAAGTAACTCAGATAGGATAATAATGCAATTATCTTTGTAAGCAACTTGAAAATGTAAAATATTTAAGAGGAACTTGATTGGGGTGCCATTGCCTTCTCAGTTTTGCCTTTGTAGTTTAAATATATTGTCAAAGAATGTTTAAATTTAAAAATAGTTGCTTGTCCATTAGTACTTACAATGTGTGCTTGCTGGGCCTCTTCAACATAATGTGTTGTAATGATGACTGTTGCTTTTCCTCCTTCAGTTAGTTTTGTTAAGTATTCCCAAATGCTGAAAATGACGTAAAATAGTAACATTGTGAAGACCTTGTTAAACAATTTTTGTATTTCAACATTTGAAACTATTAATTCAGGGAATAATTTAATAAAATGTCACAATCATAATTGAAATCCTTTTACAAAAAATACTGAATTAAGAAATTTAAAATTAGTTTTTTTTTTTAGAAAGGATTGATTGTTGTAGTAAGCCCTAATAATTTTATGTAACTCTTCAGCAGGTCACCATTGACATTATCATTAGCAGGTGCATGCAACACTCAGTGACCTTTGAAATATATAAATTTTAAGTTTTAAAAGACATGTAATCCAATGAAAAGTGAGATAATAACTTTAATTAATGTTATAGGAGTTGCAATTAGTTCGTAAATATCACAAAAAACGCTTGAAAAAATCAGGTATGTGCAGAAAACATAAAAAGCTTAAAAAATATATACTATCAAGTCCCTGTTTAATTTTGGACAACCATGCAAAAAATAGTGTTGGGGAGTTCTAGATTCTGTCGTCACATTATTTTATTAAAATGAAGCAGATAAATTTACATATCTCCTTAAATTTTGTAAATGTATCCATTTCATGTGAATAAAATAGGATGACATCACAGAATCTGGAACCCCATAACACTGTCAATTGTATCATTGCCCCATATTAAGTAGGGACTGCAATAGTGACAAAATCGTAAGTGACAATCAGAGTCAAAATTAATATTATGCTAGTAAGTAAGTAAGTAAGTAACTTCCAGCTAAAAAGTGAGTAAGAACTGAAAAAAAACTAGAATTCCGAATGAAGCAATGGCATTTTTAAAATTATTTTTTCCTCAAAAGTATAAATTCACTGTATCACTAGTATTTACATTTTCTAATTTCGCCCCATCTCTATGTCACCAGATCAGAGAGCGCATTTCCACGACTCGAGACTACTTGAATATCGTTTGCGAACAGCGAGTGCACTACAATTCTGATGTCTCGTATTCGGGTGTGATCACACCGCCATGCGCCATACAGACAAATTTGCTTTTTCGGCCTTCTGAATCCGAATGAAGTTGATTTTTACTTTCTCCCCCTTCCTTCATAAGAAGAGAAAGTATTGTAATCGTGCGCCGGAAAAATGCGAATTTTCGTTACAAAAACTTATTACTGGTCCCTGGTAGAGAGAAGGTGGATAAATATTGTTTTTATATATAATAAATTACTTCCTCAAACACTTGGTGAAGTCAAAATCCATGTTTTGTGGGTCCTTGTTACCGAAAAATCGATTGATGGCAAAACGCCTGTCCTTCTGTCTGTCCGTGTGTGGTCAACACTGGCGACTTAACTGTTTAGCCAATTTTGTCCAAAATTGATGTTTCTCGATCGATTTAAAAGAAGGCTCTCTAAGTTTGAAACAGATATTTTGATTTTGGATGGTTCTTTAAATGAAACCCAAAAAACATTTTGAAAATTTTCTTAAAAAATGGCTAACCATTTTTTGATTAAACTTTGTTCTCGAGTAGCGTAAAGAACGTTTAAAAGAAGGGCGCATGTCTCATTTCCGTGGAAATCCTCGGTTTTTCGAAAATTGCATTTAATTTTTTTCGGCGACTTCCTACAATATTGAAGATAAATATTTTTGTCCTGGGCGAAATAGGTTCTTTAAAGACATCTTGAAATAAGGTCTTGATGGACGAGAATTCGAGTTTCGGCGCGGAAACAATTGGGCTGGTTGAGAACACTTTTGCAGGATCATGCAGTGCTATATTACTGCGAAGGCGTTACAAACAACACGAAAAAGTATATGCTGTTGTGGCTCCTTTAGTTTCTTATCCTTTTACTTTAGAAACAGGTACTGGTATTGTATGCACTTAAGTTAAAAGTTTTAGGTTGCTAATAATCGCTGTGATTTTTCGATTTTTATGAAAGGAAAAACTATATTAGGGGAATGAGATATATGCGTGATACTCTAACATAGTTTTCTACCATTGAATTTCAACATGAATGTCGTGAATATCCTTCAAAAGAAGCCAGAAAGCTGACCTGTGTCTAAGCAAGGGATCCAGGCCGACCGTTGGCTCGTCGAGAATGAGTAGCTCTGGGGCGTGCACGATAGCTGCCGCAAGAGAGACACGGCGTTGCTGGCCTCCGCTGCAATAGAATCATTCGAAACATTCGTTTATTTAACGCCAATAAAAATAGACAAAACACTGCATGTGCTAGAGATAAAATCCACGTTTGAGAGGGTGTGGTTCACAAGGGATTACGTCGATTTCATCAGGCTGCTCAAGTTTTAGGTTTAAATTGAATTGAATTGAATTGAATTTGCCTTATTTTACGTGGCGAGACTCGGGCCATCAGGCCCGCTCTTCCGTCTGACCACGCAATTTCGCTACGCTCCTTTCACCAACTAGAAGAGAAAGGAGGCATTTCTTGGGCGAGAAACAGGCGATTTTGAATTTAGCTCAGAGGCGTCATTTAGGCTTGAGGATATTTTACATGCAAGTAAATCTACGAACATGGGACAGCCGGCTTTACTGGGGTTTAAATTGTTCTACATGGATTATAAACAACTCCCTATAAAGTGTATTAGATCTTTCAACCCCAGACTGCAAAGTAGTGAGTTTTATATGAGACCACACCAAAATGCGCTCACATTAACTGGAACCTGACCGGTCTAGCTTATGCCTCTATGAACCTCAACACTCATCAAATGTAGAAGCAACGCTCGATTTGAGCATTCGATCAATAGATCTAGGGGAAATGGACGAAAAATGTAATCGAGATTAGTGAACAGACTGTGTACATCTGCTTGTTCAAAATGTTTATGATTGATGATATTTGAGTGTGTTGTCAAGTAGTAAAAACATTACAGGGGAGCAATAGAATCATTCAGTTGCTCTCGTACGCTATCCTAATAACACAATATTACGATCAATGTTTGAATTTTTAAGACTATTCAACTGCTATGGTAATTAATCCTATTAGTGTAGTGAATGATTTTTGGCAGGAACTGGGGTGTTGTTCCCCTGGTGGTTGGTGAGATCTGGCGCCGGTCTACACGTCGGTTTGTGGCTAATATTCCTCTCCAAATATTTCTCCCCAGCGACGCAGCGCTTTTGCTGAGACAAGCTCTAAGCTTCAGACATTCGCGGTAATATAGTGAATTTAATTGCATGTGTGTATAAATGAAGGGAGAGAATTATAGAAGGAAGAGGAAGGAAAGATGGTGACTTTTTTGTTAGGGAAGTTGTTCTCTGGTATTGTTCCTTCATTTCATTCTCTTGGTATTGATCGGACAGTCCACAGAAAACTCCTGCTCAGAGCAGCCTGTCGCTAGAATTGTCCTGCAGACAGTGGCAGAACTCGAACTAGCTGTGTACACTATGTGAACAAAAGTACCCGGACACCTGTATGAAAATGACTTACCGGTTCGTGGCGCCCTCCATCGGTAATGCTGGAATTCAAGTGTGTTGGCCCACCCTTAGCCTTGATGACAATTTCCACTCTCGCGGGCATACTTTCAATCAGGCGCTGGAAGGTTCCTTGGGGATTGGCAGCACATTCTTCACAGAGTGCTGCATTGAGGAGAGGTATCGATGTAGGTCTGTGAGGCCTGACACAACGTCAGCGTTCTAAAGGTGTTCGATAGGACTCAAGTCAGGACTCTCTGCAGGCCAGTCCATTACAAGGATGTTATTGTCGTGTAACCTCTCCGCCATAGGCCGTGCAGTATTAACAGGTGCTCGATCGTGTTGAAAGATGTAACCGCCATCCCCGAATTGCTCTTCAACAGTGGGAAGCAAGAAGGCGTTTAAAACATCAACGTAGGCCTGTGCCGTGATAGAGCTACACAAAATAACAAGGGGGCAAGTCCCCTCCATGAAAAAAACGACCAAACGATAACACAAATTTGAATATAAGACAAGTCCGGATACTTTTGACCACATAGTGTAGCTATAGTCGAAAATCCGCCACCATCGGTACTCGACCCTTTGGACCTCCCGGTCTGTGCCGTTGCAAGGAGCGTCACTATTCCTCTCCCGAGGGAACTGTGATGGGAATGGAAGGAGCGGAGGGGAGGTGTGGGCGTGGCCACCTGACCTGAGCGTCTTGACGAGGCGGTCGTCGGGGGGCAGCTGCAGCAGCGGCACCAGCAGGTCCATTCGCTCCTCCACAGCCGCGCGCTGCATCTCCAGCAGGCGCCCGTAGTACAGCAGCACATCCGCCACCGTGAATTCGCCCAGCAGCGCCGCGTCCTGCAACGGGGCGACGGACGAAGTTCCTTTTACGTTCCGGTTCGCGTGGTAGAGAGAAAGTTGTGTAATGCTGGAAAAGGTTGCCCTCGACATTTTGACGGAAATAAATGTTTGGGGGATTCCTGGTTGCGAAGTAGCTTAAAGAACAAAAATTTTAGCTGCCTGTGAACCACACTAGTATCTGAAACGTGCACATTATGTTTACCCAAAAAGATATTCCCCGAACCACTGTTATCGCGGTCTCTCTAACTTGAAAAGAATCTTTAAATTGCATTTCCAGCAGGCGCCCGTAGTACAGCAGCACATCCGCCACCGTGAACTCGCCCAGCAGCGCCGCGTCCTGCAACGGGGCGACGGACAAAGTTTTTTTTATTTTCCCGTTCGCGTGGTAGAGAGAAAGTTGTGTAATGCTGCAAAAGGTTGCCCTCGGCATTTTGACCGAAATAAACGTTTGGGGGATTCCTGGTTGCGAAGTAGCTTAAAAAACAAAAAAAATTAGCTGCCTGTGAACCACACTATCTGAAACGTACACATGATTTTTACTCAAATAGATATCCTCTGATCGACTGTCATCGCTGTTCCTCTAATTTCAAACGAATCTTTAATTTTTTGGAATCATTGATTCATGTTTCCTGGTACGTCAACTGCTATGGTTATTAGAGTAGTGAATGTTTTATCCCGGGATGTGGTGGTGTTTCTCCGCTGGGCGGCGAGAGCCGGCGCCAACCTACACGTTGGCTTTGAGACGGGGGCTTTCTCGAAATATCACTCCTTCGGGAGTTAACTTCCATGGTACCGGATTAGGTAGCTCAGGGCATTCACTGACATTGGAGTAACTCGAAGTCCTAGGTTTCGATTCCAGACGGTGGCGGGATTTTTGTCGCTAGATACATAGCTGTGTTGAATTGAGGCGTTATCTCGAGGAGAATTCTATGGGCCGGCTGCTCTGATCGGTAGTTTTCCGTGGTTTCTCCGATCAATACCAGGCGAATATCGGAGCGGTACAGTAAAACGGACCACTTGAAATATTTCCATCCTCTTCTTTGTCCTAACCCTCACACCTTACACTGACGCACATACACACACACATTCAATCATCACAACCAAATATGTCGGGTGATTAGAGCTTATCCAGTCTGTGGTGGTGCCTCGCTGATGGGAGATACCTGGTTGTGGAAAACTCCGTTAGCCTACGTTTAGGTCGGTGTTAGATCTCGCCATTCAGCGGATGTAGATTTCCGCTCCTCCAGAGAAAAAACATGAACTACACTAACTGGACTAGTGACCATAGCAGTTTATGCTCCCGGAATCACTAAAGAACCATGCGGCCGCTGGAAAGCCCTGCCGGCTGGGAGTAAAGGATCGGCGGGGCCGCCTGGCGCCCACGGCAGGATGCGCGGGCGCGGAGGCGCGCGCTGGTGGCCCAGATCCACTGGCGTGTGCCCAGTTGCCTACATTCGCGTCGCGTGGGCCGGATGACATCAACCAAATACCCGCAACAGGGACAATTACTGCGCGGCGAGTTTACGCGTGGGGCCTTAGTGGCGGTGTGGCCCAAAGAATAGGTCGCGAAGCGAATTTTTTATTTATCAGGCGCGGATGTACGGGGAGGAAAATTAGGGTAACTCTCCCCCCCCCACCTAAAAATTTTCTGCAACTATTAATTGTAACTTGTCACGAAACTTTTAAGCAAAAATATTGTCGGATAATTATTGAAACGAGTAAAATCTTATTGAAGTATGAGCTGAGTGGAGCTTGTGACATTTTACAAAATCTGTAATAACACATTCGACCAAAACATTTTTAATTTCCTCTCCCGAAATTTGTCTCTAGATCCGACTCAGTATTAACGTTCGTTGTTATTAGAATGCGTTTATTTGGAAGTTGAAGAAAGTAAGCTACAATTGAAGTTGAAAGAATGGGAAAGTCTGGTAGTCCCTATCAGACACGCTAAAACGAAAACGTTACAAAAATATCGAGATTCTTTTAGCGAACTTCCTTAAGCGGTATAACTTCTTGTTGACACGCAGTTATATTCCGTGAAATTTATGATAAACTTGTAGAGGCACGTTCCTTCTTTTTGCTTTCAGTTTTTCAGCCAAGATAAGGGTTTCAGCAACCTTCAGCCGAAAATGAAATAATCCAAAATTTTTTTGTCAGTCCTAGAAGTTCTGCTTAAAGTTGGTATCCAAGTCATGAATTTGGGACTGCAAGTTAAAAAACAAATTAATTATTCTAAGAGTATATTTCCGCGATCTTACAAGTATTGTGAAGAGGGAAATAAGAAATTCAGATTGGCGACCCCTCCCATATCAATCTATAACCGGATGTGGCACTTCCATAAAAGTTATTTTTTTATAATTTATCATGCATATTTTGGGTTTTTCAAAAATTCTTTCAAAATTGTCGCTCAATAAATCCTCCGAACATCAGGCTAGTAACCTTTGTTCAAATCGTATATTTCTGGTACTACATTTCAAGAGATAACACATTTGAACATTCCATCAACATTCAGAAGCTTATGATGGTCTCGAAGACACCGTGGCTTCTCCAGAGGACAGATAAGAAAGAGGATTGAGAAAGTGGACCCGACGGTATTTTCCTTATTACACAGTTCCATGACCAATAATATTTATTTCATTCAATTCAGAATATTTCGTATATTCGATTCAGGTGACAGAGATGTGGCCTTTCCGAAATAACTAATTCACCTCATTTTGATATTTCGCACGGTCAAGGAGACACGAGGTGATACTCGTACTAACCTAATCGCATCATTATAAAGTACATATCTATTCATTATGAAGCCTGGCATCCAGTAAGAGTCGTTTATGAGTATCTTATCGTACGATCTACATTGGCACTTGAGCCCGCTCGATTCACGTGCGAGTTTCTACGTGCGAGCGCGCGCACAGTACTGCACCCAGGTCACAACTGACGCTCGGTCTGGTGTCAGGGGAAGTACTGCCCGGGAAAATACTTTTTATTTTTTTAATTTAATTTTTTAGAATACATTTAAAAAGAATTGGGAACTAATAATATTGTACTGTGAAACGCTATTGTAGTTGATGAATAGCATTTTCATCTATTCACATTTGTTGCATACTAGGAATGATTCGTTGAAACCTTGCACACATGTTCACGTACATATACAATGCGTACACACAGAGAGAGCACGCGTTAAGTAACGCGCGTCGTAGATTAACACTGAATCATACAGAGAACGGCCAAAACGCTCGTGTGTTGTTTTTCGCGTGAGATAGTGTTATAGTAAGACGCGTTACTTAACGCGTGTCAACGCAACGCTGTTGTTCAAGGGTCCTTGAGCTCTATTCTGGGGGCATTCATGTGTGACAGAACAGAGCAACCTTAAAATTCATCCCCCACTTCATTCGAGGTGAGATTTTAATTAGTTATTTTAATTATCTATTTGTTCGATTAATCAGTTTTTGTTTTCTTTCTTCCTGGGTCTTTTCCCTGCTTCAGGGGATGTTGATTTGGACTATCCGCGCTGGGTACCCACTATAACCCTCATGAGAACACATTTACACTAGACACTGACACACATGCGGGCTCCTGGTCTTTGCTCAGCAGACTCATAAGACCTGCAACAACACACATACATGACAGACAAGGGACAAACAGCCATGCCTATGAAGTCGTAGGCTTCCACGGCCGGAGTCATGTAAATGATCTTGGCTGTCCGGGTAACGCCGCGTCGAAGGCCGTGTTGCCGACGTTTCGACCATCTTATCGTCGTCTTCTTCAGGGCTGGTCTGCCAAACCACGATATAGACCTCGATGAAGAAGACCACGATAAGATGGTCGAAACGTCGGCAACACGGCCTTCGACGCGGCATCACCCGGACAGCCAAGATCATTTACTTAAACCATGCCTATGGCGTGTTTCGAACCCGCGACCCTTCAGACCGATGAGTCGGCACCTCAGCCATCCAGGACCCAATTAATCAGTAATGCATGTTATTAATTATAAATGAATGAGTGGTTAGTGCAATTACCTGCGGCATGTAGCCGACGCGCACGGCGTAAAAAGCTTGTAAAAACGTTGGCTTCCTCGGCCAGAATCATGTAAATGATCTTGGCTGTCCGGGTAACGCCGCGTCGAAGGCCGTGTTGCCGACGTTTCGACCATCTTATCGTGATTTTCTTCAGGGCTAGTCTGCCAAACCACCATATAGACCACGATAAGATGCTCGAAACGTCGGCAGCACGGCCTTCGACGCGACGTCACCCGGACAGCCAAGATCATTTACATAAACCATGCCTATGGCGTGTTTCGAACCCATGACCCTTCAGACCGATGAGTCGTCACACGCTCTAGCTACCTCAGCCATCCAGGTCCCAATTAATCAGTAATAAATGTTGTTAATTATTAATGAATGAGTGGTTAGAGCAATTACCTGCGGCATGTAGCCGACGCGCACGGCGTCGACGGCGCCGGGCGGCAGGCCCAGCACGCGCGCTTCCCCGGCGTCCAGCGGCACGCGGCCCAGCGCGCAGCGCAGCAGCGTCGTCTTGCCGCAGCCGCTCGCGCCCAGCAGCCCGTAGCTGCGCACGCCAAGCCAACGCACATGCATTCGTGATCGCCCACTGCTAAGGGCATTAGACGCGTAAGTGATGCACATGCGTTTATGTGCGTGATCTTGGCTGTCCGGGTGACGCCGAGTCGAAAGCTGGGTTGCCGGCGTTTCGACCATCTTATCGTGGTCTTGCTCAGGGCTGGTATGCTTTCCGTGTGATGCCGTGTCGAAGGCTGTGGTGACGACGTTTCGACCATCTTGTCGTGGTCTTCCTCAGGGCTGGTAGGCTTTACGTGTGACGACGCGTCGAAGGCTGTGTTGCCGGCGTTTCTACCATATTGTCGTGGTCTTCCTCAGGGCTTGATACTCATACCAGCCCTGAGGAAAACCACGACAAGATGGTCGAAACGTCAACAACACAGAGTTCGACGCGGTGTCACCCGGACAGCCAAGATCACGCACATGACTCTGGCTGCGGAAGCCTACGACTTCACAACGGCAGCAACTGATGTCACTGCAGTGCCTCTGACCTAGAGGTTCGAGGTTCGAGCCGAACGGCTTCAGGCGGAGAGGGATGAGGAGATATAAATGAAATTACATCCATTTTACACGGGATATTTTACAACTTAAACTGTTTGTTAGACGTGTTTGCTTCAAACGAGAGATAGAATTGACTTCTTTTTCTGTAAAAAAAATGATTGTGACAAATACTAGGGTAATTTGGAGTTCCTTCTGCTGATTGTGATAAGATAGGCAAGCAATTTAGTAATAGGACTACATTACATATGTTTTGGATAAAAATGTTATGATTTCAAAGGAAAATATAATTTTCAAAAATTACTTTAAATTACAAAAGTATTGTAAGTAGTTTTGGACCCGGGTTCGATTTCGGGGCGAGCCAAGACTATAGTGTGCATTTTCCTTGCAATGTCCCAGTGTATGTTGCTGTGTGACGATGACACAATTCACTTCTCAGGTTGAGAAGACCGGAATACGGCGTGAGGATGTCTACGTGCTAACCACACGTACCGCTTTAACCCATGGCTGCGAGGCAGGAACGTTGACGGTAGGCCTGACCCCGTTAACAGACCAAGTACATACATACAACTAGATACATTGCAAATAGTTTCGAGTTGTTCTAGGAGTACAACAAAAATAATCGAATTATCATTTATAATTTATATTAACCATTTGAAACATGTTTATTCTAATATCCAGTCCTTCAGGAACCTTTATGCTTTGGCATGCTGTATCTGAGCGCGATAGATACTCACATGCTGCCGCGAGGCACCGTCATGTCGAGGCCTCTGAGGACGGAGGTCCCGCCCACATTGTCACCGCCGTTACACCCGCCGCCAAACACCTTGACGGCACCGCGCAGGTACACCGCACTCTCCACCATTGTGCCTGCTCACAAGCACACACAGCGCTGTGATCTCTTAGTCGTAAATGCTACTAAAGTACTGTACTGCTCTATAGGCTTAACGCACCAAACAGAGGAACGATTAGCGGCCTCGTCCGTTAATGATTTAACGGTCACATGCGCCTTTAACGCCTGTTAACACGAAATCTTACAGGTTGTATATACACTATGTGTTCAAACGTATCCACGTCCAAAATGGTGTTATGGTGTGGTAGTGTTTTTGCACCCCTTGTTGTTTTGTGTGGCTTCTCACGGCACAGGCCTACGTTGATGTTTTAAACACCTTGCTCTTTTGAAGAGCAATTCGAAGATGGCGATTGCATCTTTCAACACGATCAAGCACCTGTTCAATCTGCCCGGCCTGTGGCGGAGTGGTTGCACAATAACACCCCTATTATGGACTGGTCTGCACAGAGTCCTGACTTGAATCATATCGCGCGCCTTTGGGATGTTTTCTAACGCTTGTGCCAGGCCTCACCGAGCTACATCGATCCTCTCCTCACTGCAGCCCTTCGTGAAGAATGGGATGCCAATCACCAAGAAACCTTCCAGCACCTGCTTGAAAGGACGCCTCCGAGAGTGGACGCTGTCATCAAGGCAAAGGGTGGGCCAACACCTTATTGAATTCCAGCATTACCGATGGAGGGCACGAAGTGGTAAGTCATTTTCAGCCACGTGTCCGAATACTTTTGATCACATAGTGTATATGTAGTCATCAATGGGGAAAAGGCAAATTGGAAAAATAATTTAATGCAGGTATTTACTAAAATATTTTCTTAGTCTTATTTGAGTATTTACCTGAATTATCATTTTCTTAATTTAACGTTCTGCGCACAGTAATTTGACTGTCTATAAATATATAGAGGACCATATTTATATAATTAAATTTCAATAATAAGGCAGTATAACATAAGAAATATTACAAAAAGTATTGAAAATTAAACGATCTATAACACAAATAACAGACAGACACAATTTTTAAATAATTTCTGGCAGGTTTGTTGATCAATCGAGGAGAGTGGCAGATCTTAATGTATAGTAGTGGCAGTAATGTTTGACAGTGTTTCCAACACGAAAGAGGACATTTTAGCTTGGAGGATGTGAGAGTTGTGTTGCAGACGTCAGCACCGGAAGCTTGGTACCGGAAACTGATGAATTGAACTGATGAATCTCGTTCTGCGCGTTTCCGCAATACGTGATTCTCGAACAAACAAGAATGTGATCATAAACTGTGAATTTATTTCAAGATATATGAATGTACAGGCAACTGAACAAATATTGTATGTATTACAGTTTCTCCACGCACTCACTTCAGAAATATGAAGAGAGAAAAATAAGTGTCCGATTAGCGTGAAGAATTTTCATTCTTAGTCTGTAGTTTATTCGCATAATTATGAAAAGAATAAGTTCAATAAATCCCTGGTCCGTACTGGCGATCAGATACGTTACTTAAATAATTATTTATTCTATTATAATATAATTTCGTCTATTATAATAGAATGGACGTAAGCAAATGGGTATAATCTTGATAACCACACCAGAAAACTAGGGACAGGTCATCGTGCTCTCTACTAATTTTCCCCTGTTTTTCATATCATTTCTTCATTGCCATTATTATTATTGTTTACTATTAGATTATCGCCCATCGGCATTAATGAAATCAGGTTATTAATAATAACTTTAAATAAATAAATAAGTAAAATAAACTTCCCCTCGCAGTGACAAACCCATCTCTCCAAGATCAGAACGCCATTGACTTCAGCAAATTAACGAGACGGTTCAAATACTGGTGAGATATATTCAAAACTCCGGGAAGACTTGATTCGACGAAATGAGTAGGGAGGGTAATCTAACGCTGGGAAGCAACAGGAACACTGACAAGACGGCAAGGCAAACGGTCAATATTCTCGATACAAGGTGGACAATACTCTCACCTGGGGCTGTCTGTGAAATGGTTTCCTAATGAAAGAGGCAGAATGTCTGATCCTAGCAGCTCAAGAACACGTTCTTAGAATGAAGACTGTTCAAGCCAAAGTAGATTACAATTACCGAAGACAGAGTTTTCACACACAAGACGAAACAGCCACTATCTAAAGTCAGTATATGGAGACAAATTACTCGGATTAGAAGCAACACCATGAAAGTACTCTGGCATCTATGCGGAAAGCATTTGCTTTCAGACAAATGGTTAATGGCTAACGCTCAAGCCTGACAAGATAGTCGAAAATACCAATATAAAAATTCTCTGAGATTGCAAGATCAAGACTTAATTGTATAATAACATGCCAGATCTCACCGTCACTGCAAAGAATCACTGATAGATACTGGACGTGGCCATCCCACCCGATCACATAATATATCAAAATGAGAATAAGGGCATATCGTCATCTCGAGATAGTGCTGGAAAGACTGTGGAATTGGTGGGATACAGTTATCCCATATTTATTGAAAATGTTTTTAGTTACTGAAAATATTTCTTGAATTTAATGAAAAACATTAATGAAAACAAGATAAGAGAAACCACATTATTGTTTTTTATACATTTGCTCAGTAGAATCTTTAAAAGCAGAAACTCAAGAGCTAATGATATGTGTAATTTCGAAACATTTGGAAAAAATTCTGGAAGCAACACAAAAGGTAACATGTCCTTGTACTGTTCACCATACTAAATTTTTGGCGGAAGGAAATATTATTTTACACGGTGACATTAGAAGGAAGTATGAATATCTAATTGAATGATCGAAGCACCTTTAAAAAATTTGAATGATTTATTTAAACGAGATTAAATTTTCTGTGAGAAGAAAACTGTCAGTCACTGACAAACTCACAATTATTGTGGTGGAGAATGGTTTAATATTCGTATTTCAATAAACTCGTACATACATGTTATTTTTCACAAATATTGGAACGTATAGCTCTCATATCCGTTATAAATAGTCATATACATACAGTCACATGCATACGGTCAAATATTTTATGAACGATGGAAAAATTCTAAATTTTGTCTCGTGAAACTGTAGATATATTTAACTGCATACTTAAGTCCTTCTTTTATCATAAATTATTACAATATATTAACGAATCTTACCATCTAACTTTCTAACTTCATTTTTACACTAATGCTCTTGCAGAGTGCATTTTGAAAACAAATCTCGACAATACCAGCAGCATTAGCATTACTTTAATCGAAGAGAAAAGACACTATCGGCCAGTGTTTGAAGAACTAAGCTAAATCCTCACGAGTCGTCTCTGGAATTTTCTCTTGGAAACTCACTATCATTAAAATATCACTTATTACTGAAAACTACTTAGCACTACTACTTAGCTTTTAAAATTTTGTTGTTTATTAACGTTGCCATAAATACATTTACAGAATTTTCGTCCCTCTCCTCCCCCCCCCCCACGAAAAAATATT